GCTACTACACCAACTACAGCTACTACACCAACTACAGTAACTACAGCAATTACATCAACATTCTCATAGTGGGCTTAGTGGTCACTTAATGCCTCTATATTCGTGACGGTTATCATGAACCCATTACCGAAAAATCATGTTACCCTAAGCTTTGGGGTTCTATTCAACTTGTTGAGGTTATAGCATTTTGTTTGAGTTCTAATAAACTAACCTTGGTTGAAAACCTGATGTGATCGAGTGTGGATTTTACCTACAGCTAGAATGCAAGGCAGGCATTTATGTTTGGGGTGCGCAGAAGTTCGTAATGAAGAGATAATATGAGAAAAACATTAAACTTTGTTTTCTTTCCTTCTCACTGAACAGCCAAGGCAAACACTACTTGGTCAAATCTCCAAGAACACTATGGTGTGTTAGAGGTAGATATGTCTCATGACAAATAGTTGATAATATTTAAGAATAACGACATAAGGTGACCTTATATACTGTATTACTGCATGCGTGCTAAAACAACTCAAGTAGCCACTTCCGCAGGTTTTTTAATCATATTTTTTTTCTCTTGGCTTGTTTTCCCCTTATTTCCTCTGCTGGCCCTTTACATGTACTTGAGATTGGCGAGGTTTTTGCTTTTTTCTAGTAAAGGATATGGGCGACAAGCAGAGAGTAACTAATCAATTTATTAAGGTAAACAGCAAGGCGCTAAAACGCAACATTTAGCCATATACAAACAACAAGGTTAAATATAGGGAAGATTTATCAAGTTGGACAATTGTCTGTCAAATCCATCTTCACATTTCTGTCCTAAGACAACACTTTTACAGTCAAACTGGGAAAACCGTGCACACCAGAAATATTTCTGGAATGTTATTGTGTTGAAAGAAAAAAGCCAATCACTCGTGGGAAAACTGAACTGAGCAAAAACGTTAATAAGATTGTGGTTTTAAGGGTAATTCGCATGTCCTGATCTTTGCTCTAATGAGTCGTCACACATTAAACATTCCTGAGATATTTCAAACATTCACGGTTTTCCCAGTCTTACTGCAACAGAGCAAGGCATATCTGAATAGGCTATCCCATGCATGCAGTGGATGAATATGTTCAGCTGTATTTTTACATACTTCGTTTATTGATGGCATCTGTTTATACAACACACAGAACCTTATTGACCTGAACCAACAGTTGCTTGTAACGTTAGGAGTTAGTCACAGCTCACTGGACGAGCTATGTTGTGTGACATCCAAGTATGGTCTACATTCCAAGCTGACAGGAGCCGGTGGGGGAGGATGTGCTTTCACTCTTGTCACACCAGGTAACATTAAAGGGACAGAATCGTGTAAACTACGCTAGAGTTATAAAGGTGCACTGTACACTAGGAAGGGGGGGGGGGGGGGGGGCAACCCCCTTATGAAAGGAACGGGTATGTTCATTGGGGCCTTAAAGATCCACAGCCGCGGACGAAAACAAGACGGCAAAAAACACAAAAGGTTAACAATAGGTTTATTAAGAAAAACAACAACTTCCCACGTCCAACACATTTTTTTTACATTTTTTTTCCAAGGGGGGGGGGGGGGGGGGGGGGGGGGGGGGGGGGGGGGGCAACTCCCTTATGAAAGGTACGGGTATGTTCATTAGGGACTTTAAGATCCAACGACGCGGACGACAACAAGAACGTCAAAAACACAATAGGTTCACAATAGGTTTAATTAGCAAAACAACAACTTCGCACGTGCATCACACTTTTTTTTACATTTCTTTCCCGTTTTTGCACGACTACGACGTGAAAATGCCTAATTTCGCGTTTTATGGAGGACGTAAACAAACAACGACGAAATTTATTTCTCTTTCTGAGCTTGAATATGGTCCCTTGAAATTCCGCTTCAGGAGGGTTCGCCTACAATTGACAAAGTAAGTAGGTAGGAATAATCGCTGTAAAGACTGAAAGAACGCAAATTCACTTTTTAAGCGACGTTCTTGTCGCCGTCGCGTCGTTGGATCTTAAAGTCCCTATTGTCTGTCTTGGGTGGCCTGTGCGCAGACACCCCCTCCCCTCAAAAACATCTCTCCCAATTTTTTCTTTACGGGAGGGGGCGTCTGTACACAGCTAGCTTAGGGATGTAAAGTCAGTGCGGATTTTGGTCTTACTTATGGTTTTTAGGATAAAAAGTCAAACTTTTTCCTGGCAAACAGGTATCGCTTAGGATTGTGCGTAAAGAAAGATCTTTTTAAAAAAACAAAACAAACAAATGCCGCTCTTCTGTGTTAAAGGTACCATTCGAGCATTCGATGTGGAAAGTTATAATCTCTATTGCTCTTAGTTGGTTATCCTTTCAGTATGGTCTCATTGAGGTCATATGTAGCCAAGCCACGCCCAAGTTGGTAACTTTTAGAGTATAATTCTGTTTTCCAACTAGCATTCTCGTCTCTTTCATACGGGAGCCCACCCCTTCCCCCTCTCGATGTACACACTGATGCTCAGAGTGGCCTTTGAACAACAGCACATATTACGTTCTCCAAGGCGTGGCTGAAACCTTCGTTAACTGGCCAAAGTGGTACCTGGAGAACAGTTCTATTAACTGAGCTTTTTAGAATTTGAGAAAAATGGTTTGACCCTGGTCGAGGCGAAAAATACCATAATAATATACCATAATAAAATATCATAATATGAATTTACAGAATATTAGGGTATTTTCCACTTCGGTAGCCTGAGAAAACAGCTGACATTTCGCGACGCAACCACTGGTTTCCCGAGTCCATAGAGCAAACTCCCCATTTGGGGAGTCGAGAGAAGTCACGCGAGAGTAACTCGCGAAAAGAGATGCGAGTGCGAGGGGCTCGCCTCGCTTTGCAAAAATGGATACATTGCTAGTAGGCTCATTGATGACGCATTCCAACCCCCTGTGTAGTGTTTTTGTTTGGTTGAAAATTTGCTTCGTCCAATGAGAAGCACTGCCCAGATCTTCGAAGTGACGCGTCATCAATATGGATGATTTCTGGGCCAGTTCCTCAGTCTTTTAGCAGGAGGGTCGCGAAATGTCAGCCTCGCACCCAGGCCAGTTCGCGCTATCTGGGTGACCAGAGGAGGCTTGGAACGGAGCGCGATAGCGCCTCGGCGAATTTCTCCCGACGAGTTTGGCAGGCGACGTCACATCCGAAAACGCCGTGGACGACTGGGAACGAGGCTGGCGAAATGTCAGCTGTTTTTCTCAGGCTACCAAAGAGGAAAATATCAGAATATTCTTTAAATTCAGGTAGTTTAAAGAATATTATAGTATTTTTGGCTTTGACCAATAGGTTTAAGCTATTTTCTCAAATTTAAAAACCTCAGTTAATAGAACTGTTCATTAAATTCCTTACTCATTGTAGACGTTCATTCATAACATTCTCTTTTGCAATGATCTCTCTGCCAGATTCAAGTGAGAAATCAGTAAGTGACGTCATTCATGATTTGACCAATTTGGGCTTTGAAGTTTGGGACACGTGCCTTGGTGATGAAGGGGTTACCCTACAAATATCTTAAACCTCTCCTCCCTTGCGACAGCAAGGTGAGTCGAGCTTCATAATAGTGCAAAATAAAAGGAAACTGTATAAAGATGAACATTTTATTTCAAAGCTTATGCATTTGTGTAGACTATTCTTAATTTAGTGACAAAACCTGCCACATAACAAGAAGAGTTGAGCTTTATAATAAATATTACACTTTTCTACTAATTGAAATTAAACCTGATCAAAACGTTGGATCGCTGCTTTCACGTTTACCCCAATGCAGGTTTTTTAATATTCTTCAATTTTACCCCGCATTCTGCTCGTTTTTAGCTTTGCTTTATCCGTTTTATGTTAGCAATTCTCTCTCTTATGTTTGAAAATAAATATTATTACAACAGCGGTTTTCTATAGATAATGCCTTAAAATGCTGTGTATATTTTGAAATGTGTCTTTATATGATACTTATTTCTAAGGAGGTTTTGTGAGAGATTTTATTATTTCTACATGTGCTTAATCTGTTTATCCAAGCCTTAATGCTTTTCAATAATTATGACAATATTGTCGCCTTCAAATGCTGATATGTTATTTATACATGCGTGGGTGACCTGCGCAGTTCAATCTTTCACGTTAAAACTGTATCGAGCAGAGCTCTCCTCTTGTAGACTACAATTTGTCCCTTAGTTTCCTTTGGGAAGATAGTGCGAGAAAAAACACGAACGCGCGTGAAAAAAGGTTTTTCTTCTCGCGCATAGCGAAACGTATTTCCGGTCGTCGCTTCTCTCTACCCGAAGAGGAGGGAAGCGACTACCGGAAGTTCTCAGGCTATTTTCACGTGTGCTCGTGTTTTTCGCGCGCTCTACTATCCCGAAAGAAACTAAAGTACTACTGGAAGTCTTCGCTTTTCAACCCTTTAAACCCAAATATCAAAATTGAGATTCTCATTTACTGTCCCTATACTTTTTCAATAGAGGCAGTTTGGAGAATTTGTTGAAATATCAATTAGACCCATCTTCCCTGATCATGTTCTCAATTCTCATGACCACTCTGTTTTACAAAAGATTGATATTACAAGGAGAAATTTGATGCTGATCGCTCGTAGGGTTTAAAGGGTTAATGTGTTAACTGTACTGCGGACCTTGTTGTGATTGAAAGTTATCAGCTCTATGATTTATTAGTAAGCTACTTTAGCAGTGGTTTCCTGTGAACCAAATGTTTGTCTTTTTTCGAGATTGTGTTCTCGTTGACGCTACAGAATCGTCAATACTTAAATATGCGCTTAAAGTCACCTTCGAACAGTTTCCTTTTCTTCTTTTTTCCCAGTGTTTCTGTCCGTGAGCCACTGACTCTCCAGCATATTCACAACTTTCGGCATTCAGTCCATCGGAAGTCCTCGTTGCAACTTGGCTTCTCTATAACGAGCCCGTGGCAAGGGGAGCTCGTGTCAGCAGTCTTTCGCAGTGAACATCCGGGAATCAGAGTTCATCGCGCGGCTCGCAGCCATCCCCAAACCGCGTCCCATTCGGCGTTGAGGTCCTGGCACAGTTCTTTCAGAGTAGCCACGGTGGCGAAAACGCAGACCAATTTCAGCAACGTTACAATGGTCTGATTCTTGGTTGTATTGGTTTCGTTTCTTCTCTGAACATTTGGGAACATTTCATTGCGGTATGTTTCCTCTATGACTTGTTTGGCCCCAGGCCACGCCCCGGGCCCCATGAGACGGTACTGGGCCGCACAGCAGGGTCCAAAAAAGCACTTGATGGCCAGGAGAGGGTCCCTGAAAAAGAGCCTTCCGAGGTTCGGTTTGCAGCCAATTAGATCTGCTATCTGATCTTTATATGCAATGCTGGATACCTGAAGATTTAATTTTTAATTTTAACATTTTAGAGAGGAAAAGAGGATACTGTAATTGTTTCTGGGATCGTTACTGGGGACGCCCCGGTCAGCGATTGGCAAATAGGCCTTTTTCAAAAATACCATAATACTCTTTGTTGTCCGTCCAAAATTAGCGTACGCATTATTTTCACTTTCTCTAGGAGCTTACTAGATCCCCAAGAGAAATTGAAAACAAAGCTTATGTAAAATTTTAGAGGGACAGCAAAGAGTATTATGGTATGTTTGGAAGGGCTAGGAAGAGTCCCAGAAGTCTTTGCGAAAGTTAACTCAGTTTCCTTTGTTTCTTGTTCGGCGAATGGCGAATGCCTTACCTCATCATCATTTGCGTTTAAAAACTATAGTAATTATAGGTAACATTCCAAGCAGGCACAAAAAAAGTCAATTCTACGCGCTACGCGCTTGAAACGGTTTGCGAACCGTTTTCGTAATGGGAGTAAAACTTTTGACCTTCTGGTTACTAGTCCAAGAGCCTTACAACTGCACATCAGGGGGACGCAAGGGGTTGAGAAGACCTTAGATAACAATGACTTCAACCAGGTTGGTGTCCAGCGGTTTTAGTGAAAAGAAGGGTTTGGGTGGGATGCTCAGTCTCGCGGGCTCATAAAACCTGGTCTCGGTCATCGTTATTTAAGGATTTTCGAGGGGTTGAGGCCACTAAAAACATACTCCACGCTAATAGCTGCTAGGACTTGATTTTTATGATTCTGGTCTTATCGGTAGAGGACAAACTGACACAATCGTACAAGATTTCATGGTTTACTACGAAACAAGCTAGAAATAACTTTCGACACTCCTACCTGAATTGTCAGACGCCTTGAAGCAAAGAATGTTTCTCTAAGCAGCTTTTTCTCCAATCCTATGTCATGCAACATGGCCTCTCTGGTAGGTAACCTGGCCAGCCCCTTGAACACGCGTGTTGCCCACCGAGCCTGCAGCTCTGCCGCGGGAAAAAACGCACCGGAGGACTGGATCAGACCCACAAAGGCAAGGGTTGACTTAGGGTGGTGGGGTGGGAAGACTTGTTTGTAAAGAGACACTTGGTTGTCTTCAACAGGAAGGATGTAACTGTCTTTGAGAAACTCAAAATTGATATTGTAGCCCGTGCATGATATTACAGCGTCCACGTGACTCAGCGAGGATCCGCCAGTGAATACGACACCTTGTCTGGTAAAATAGGAAATACCAGGTTTAAGCCTGATTGTCCCGGTGGCTATACGAAGAGGGAGGTCGTCGCTTATGACCGTAGGGGCGTTCAGAATTCCATGCCGTGGGAGAAGTCCGTAGGTATCATGATCGAATCTTTTCTGAGCGCTTCGCAGAGCCAACCATTCTTTAATCTTGTAGGGAAGGTTTTGAAAGAACCTTGTTTCCACGCGCTGATCCCATGGTAAGCCTCGCTTTTCCAGGCGGGAAATCACCCAGGCCCCTCTGTGAGTGCTGAGGTAGACTTGGGAGGCGTGGCGGCTAAGTTCAACGGCGATGTCTGCAGCCGAATTTCCAAGACCTGCGTGGAGAATAGTTAAAGCCAGCGTTAAAGCGTTTTTGTAACAAATGTGAAGACAGAACGGGACATCTCAGATGCTAAGCGATTTTCATCCTAAGTGATTACATAATGAGACAAACGATGACATTTTTGTCCAGACACACACTTTGATTCTGTTCTCTCGATTTTGCTGACAACTATGTATTCCTCACGCCTTATATGCTATTAACGCTATTGGTATAATTACTCAACGATTTGCAAACCTCGCTCCCAGGTTTTTTCTCTCTGGGAACGTGGTTGGAGATTTGCACGCTCTGATTGGTCGAGTGGATTGCGTCACATTTCCCTGCACTTCGCGGGAAAAGGGATCTTTAGATTCGAGGGTAAGGACGAGTACGAGAAGAAGATTTGACTAGCCTGAAATTCATCCGATTGCTTCGAGTCGTTTTCTCCTCTCAACAACGACGTTACTGAGGGAGTAATAACGACTCGAAGTAATCGGATGAAATTCAGGCTAAGATTTGACGTGAAGGTTTTTTTCGCGAATTAAAAATAGAGTCACCCAGGAAAGCTTCATTTTTCCTTTTTTCACCAGAAAGATAACACGGTAAAATTTTATTGACGGAGAAACCCCACTCCCGATCGCAAAAACACTTCTAATTTTGACGGCTACCACACGTTTTCCCGCCAAAATGACGCTGGTTCACGCGCGCGCAGATGCTCGCAGTGCATGTGGAGAAAATTTCGTTCTTCGAAGTTCTTCGACCGTTCTTTGGCTTTACTAGATTCAGCGCAAACTATGAGCAACGCCAAGTACAGTGGAGGAAAATTGATCGCGAAAACCTCGTAAAGATGTCTCTTATTTTAGGATAAAACAATTTAAGGTAAGATTTGATTGTTTAATGGCTGTAAAAAGTCTTTTACACTTTATGGTAAGCGGCCGACGCTAGCTAGTGAGAGACAACAACACAAAACTAACTTAAGTTAGCAAAACTTTCATCTTTTAGCATGTTTAACAGACAAGTTTCCCCAGTAGAACCTATTTACAGGAAAGGAGAAAGCACTGATGTAAACAAAATGATAAGTTTTCCGTCACAGGACAATTCAACAGTTTTAAAAGAAATATCGCATTTCCTGGTGTTTGTTGATATGAATGAAAATGGTGACGTTGTCTGCGGAAAACATCAAAACAACAACTTAATTCAAGGAATACGGTTTGAACCAATTTTTAAATAATTGGTTTAACTAACACAACCAATTCACAAAACAGTTCAAAGTGAGAAAAAAGGAGTTTTTGCCAAGTTCACAAACTGAACAATTCTTATTACAAAATCTTCACATTTCGAGCGCATCCCCATTGCTTCTCTGTACCATGGTGGTTGAATGCAGCCTTCATGCGTAAACATTTTACTACAAACCGCTACAGAAGTAACAATTCTAACTGTGGGTTTCCCTTTTTTCTCCTAAATTCGCCTGAATAATTATTCCAAATAATTATCCTGAATAATTATGCCAAATAATTATTCACCACAGGTTCAGTACCTTACCAATGTTATAGAGATGTAGAGATCTGTTCCATGTGACAACTTGTTAGTCGTTTGGTAAAAAAGAAGGTAATCTGACCCTATTTGAAAATCCATAAGAATTGCTTTAGACTGTTTTTATCTGCTCATAGTTCTGTCGTTTGCCCTGACTAGAGGTTTTGCGAGCAGATCGATGCTGGGTAGTTTTAACATCAACTAAGAAACAATGAACTGACATGCAGTAAAAACCCACGAGTAAGATGGCTATAATTTACCAGTTAGGCCCCTTCTAGACTATACAAGAACCTGTTAAGCAGAAAATTTGAAACAGATTTTTTTCTATAATCTATATAAAAAATTTTATACACTTGAGCAAATATATAAGACGAGTCAATATTTAGGATCTTCTTTCGAGACATAGGTGTCTTATTACTCCAACTGCAATTGTAATTGTAGACAGGTTTTTACTTAAGGAATGAGCTGAATGTCATTTAATACTCTTAGCCGCACATGTATTTATTTTTTCAACCTATTTAAAACGTAAATAGCCCAAATTTTTGCTAATTACCATTTATGTAAGACCCTGTTTAGGCTAACATCGCAAAATGTAGTTTCTTAGTTGTCGGTTTTTACTGTAATCCCCTCATCACGTGAACTGCACGTGAATTAGCTCAAGAGACAAGAAAGCAATATTGGGTTAGCTTCGCTACATTAGTCCTTCACGTAGCCTGCTTCAAAAAAAAAAAAAAACTTGACATTTGCCAAAGAGAGGTGGTATTAGGCTTTCACTGGCCTTTTCAGTTTATATTCCGTTTACCAAGCTCTGTGATCAGTTTATTCAAATTACAACGAGTGATAGTCCCTAACCCGAGGGATACTGCTAGGAATTCTTGATGGGCGTGTGCCGCCCAGTTCACTGCATATTAACCCTTTTCATGATATTAGAACAAGACATTACATTACCTCGCCCGTTTTTAGACCTGCCTTCTAAAAGTTTTACTCGGGTGAGAACTCTCTACCTTGGCCGGGTGAGAAGTCAACTCACTGTTCTAGCATTTTGTTATCGTCGTTTATTACTATTTGATATAGCCTACACGTCGGCTATATTTTACATTGAACGTTCCCATCCATTTGAAGCTAAAAATACTGTTAGTAGACTCTCATGACGTTCTCATGGTTCTCTTTGAAGACCATGAGCGATATCAGCCCATAATGACAGTCTAAAAGCGTCCGTTAACCGGAGTAGGTTATCACAGTATCGATCGGTGCTCTGTTCCATAGATTTTACTATAATAGGGAGCGAAGAACTGGTCATTTGTCATACCAGAGTGTCACTTGAAGTACTTCGTTATATCAAGGTTTCATTGTACTGATATATCTAAGCATCGAAGACTTGAAAGTTACTCGCAATTGAATCAGATATTCAGTGCTTGTGGTGCAATTCTTTCTAAGGGTTTGGTTTATCTCGTTTTTAAGCTACGAAACTGAACTATTACTCGCGTAAGTTATGTTTCTTTAAGAAAAAGGGGGTTTCACGCACAAATCTGTTTCTGTAACTCTGACTCGATTATCTCATTCTTAAAACCATAACTTATTAGCTCAGATTGATTTGTGTTAGTAGATAGGATTTAGCGTGATATTGTTTAGAAAATAGGCTTACATATGGGTTTTATATAATTGTAATGCCTCTTATGTAGTATACATAAAAAATATTTTACCTTGAACTTGATGTAATTAAAGGTCGGATTTTAGTAACAATATTTTGAGAACATTAGTTAATTTCGTCCATAATGGGGTAGTATTCTAATCAACATTCTCTTTTAACGTAAATAACTTAAGTAAGGCAAGGCTCTAAGAATTTCACCGCACTACTATTCGATCATTCTTGAAATTACTTGAGTATTGCTTGTATATTCGTCTCGACATGTTCTGAGTTTTTTCCAGTTTTTACTTAAGACGACCAGAGACAATACCAGTACAACGAAATTGTTATCTTATTTGTTTTCCAGAAGAATTATGAAAGAATCGTACTCATTGGTATGAAGGAGACTTACAGCGGGACTTACATCAGTTATTCTCTCGCTGGTTTAATTTCCTCGAATGTTTTTTTTTAAAAATCATCTATAAGCGTACCGAAAGCCTAGTTGCCAAAGCGGTCAATCCTTGATTGTCATTGTTTTTATTGGCTACATAGCGCATTGATATTGAAAAATAGCCTCATAAAGCCTTAATACAAATATCGAGCGCGTCTCTCGATGACATCTCATGGTTTGACTACATACTTAAACATTTGAATACAGTAGAACCTCCATGTGCGTTCACCTCTAGTAAGAGACTCCCTCCCAGCCCGGCATAAGCGACCACAAATCCAAAACACCAAAAATTTCCCAGTCAAAATCGTACAGTCGGAACCTCTCGTAAACGACCACATCTCGTAAGAAACCGCGACCACTTTTTGGGATATGGTTTTATCATTTTCCATTGTTTTTAACCTCTTGTAAACGAACGCCTTACACATGATCTGATCTCTTAGTTCGCTGTGTGATCCTGTATGTACTTAGCCTGTGTAGCAGGCGCTTTGGAAGTAACGGGGGCGAGAAGGAACGGGGTTCGCGAGGGAAGCACGCGATGAGTGTTTGATGTCAAATCGTTCCTTTGTGAATGCCCCTTGAACCCTTCAACTTTTCTTTGAGATTTTAGCCACAAAGTCCCATTGAATTAGAGAACTCCAAGATCTGACCTTCGAGTATACCATTTAGTGGTGTTAACAAGACCTTCACTTCCTTTTATTGTGCCACATGTTTACAAACGATTCCGTGTTTTCTTTCATTGACAGTTTTCTTGCCTAACGAGAACACTTATCCCCTCGGGAACCCTCAACCAATAGGAATTTTTCGCACTCTCAGAAAGCGAGTAAAAACAATTTTCATGGGCCTCTCGGGCAGGCGTTCCCTCTCCCCACGCGTGTCTCCCTCGCGCGCCCCGTTCTTTCTTGCATCCATTTCTTCCGAGCGCCTTCTAGGTAGGCTAGTATGTATTACACTAGTCGGAGCATACCAAGAACTTTTAGCCATAACATAGAACTAACGACACCTAGGTAACTCCGAAATTGCATGCGATAAATCCTCTACCAAAATGTAGATGTGTGCAGACTTCTTCTCGGAAGAGACCCTCGATGTGGTTCGATTCTAGTTGTAGACCAGGTTCCATGACCGACCAATAAATCGTTGCCCGGGTTCTCCCCCAAGTATGTTAGGGGATGTATAGCTTGCTTGGCCTATTAACGAGAAAGATACCAAGACTCTCAGTCTGTTCTTCTACCTTTATTCTTCTCGGCGTTCAACAGGCACAACAACACTTCTTCTTCTTCTAACAAGCAAGCCCATCATTAGCGAATTAAATAATCAGATTATAGATGTGTTTGGCTTAGCTGACTGTGAGAACTTTCCATTGCATATGCTGTCGCTTAAATTCGTGGAGAATAAAATACATTGTCGTGATTTACAAGTACCAATGAACCAATTGAATGCGAGCGGTAAAACTTAGAACTTTATTTACAGAGCTGTTAACATCTGGAACAACTTAGGTGACAATTTAAAAGCCTGCTCCTCGTTAAAACGTTTTAAAAACTTAACGAAGAACCATTTGATTTCTGAACAATAGTTTTAATGTCAAATATTTCCTTTATACTTAAGTTTTTATTTTATAAATAGTGTCTGAAAAGCCCCAAGGGGAACTACTATTAAAGTGTGTTTTTAAAACTGCTCAGTAGGAACAATCATACAAAACAGGAACGGCTTCAGTGTAGGTAGAACTCAAGGTCAGCTATAATCCCCCAGTGGCGGATCCTGGGGAGGGACCTTGGGGTTCGGCCCCCTCCCCCTTAATTTTAGATCAAATTGAGGCCAATTTTTTGGAGACTGCTCCCCCTCCCCCCTTATCTCAAGGTCTGGATCCGGCATTGTCCCCAAACATGCCTACTTCAAGAAGAAGTACAATTAAGTTAAACGAATCCTCCAAATGTAGATGATACAACTCAAAACTCAAGAACTATTCGTGTGACTATGCATTGAATTTCCTTGGACTATGACTGTTTACCAAGAAGCCAGCACGTACTACAAAAGAATCACTCGGATGCCCTAAACATATGAAAAACCTGAAAAATACCAAAACTCAAAAACAAAACTAAAAGCAACTACTTCGTAACATAATTGAGCACCATAAATTCCTTCCCGCGTCAGAGAGCGCAGTTGGATTCCGTGGATAACGTTATGTTATTCACGTTCACTGAAAGACAACAACCTTGCGAGGCCCTTAGCAGATTTATAGCGCTTTGTAAACTAGGCAGTTTTTGACGTATTCATATTTGGTGTTTATCGCTCATTAGTTAATTCTTAATTCTTGGCAGAAATGAACGAGTTGCATGTCGAATTTCAAGTTCTCAATTATTAGTTGTACAAGAAAAAAATCTTCCTAATAATACTAATTTTATTTCAATAGACCTAAAAGCTCTAGCCCCAGTTATCGCTCTCCTATTGTTCTACAGCTGTGTTGGACAATTATCTTAGCCGGGGATTCTTTGATAAATTTAACGGAGGTCCCCTTTATCCTCTCTTCATTCAGATCATGGGGACGGTGCAAAGAGATGTGGAGCAGCGAGCAGCGAGAGGGTGGGGTAGGGGGTCTGGAACAGCTTGAATAAATTCCTCTCGGCACCTCCTCGGCCCAAATGAAAAATGTAATTTTCTGCATGCCGGCAGTGCTCGTGTATATCAATGGGCAATTCCACGCCAGACAGTGAAATTTTGAATTTTTTAAAATAACATTTTGCGCAATGAAACTTATACCAACAGAAAGCTGAAACAATGGGCTGTTTCAAATTACTGAGATTTTGTGCGTCTAATCCATGTGCTTAATGTTAGAAGGCATGAAATCCGGAGAATTTGAATCTCATTATATTTTTATAATTTTTGGAAGAAAATTTTAAACCAAGTTTAACATCTAAGAAAACATTACAATTAAAATAAAAGTATGTGTGTATAACCTTTGCCTTACACTATCATTACGCCATAAATAATTATCCAGCTACTGGCACTTTCCTAAGAAAATTGACATTGAATTTGTGTGGCGGACATTACGTAATGTCCGCAACATTAAGGTACCTCTTTTCAGTTCCTGTACGCAGTGCACTGATTTTTCATTTGCTATTGATGCTGCTCAGCTAGTCTGATGTATACTCTATTTTAATTTCAAAATATTTCCTGGGTGGGTTTTCTTTGCTCAGAATTACAAGTTGAAAAGTGTTGCGGACATTACACATGTTAGATTTTTCAGTTATTTAGGCTGTTACAGATATTTACTTCTTACTAACTCTGAATTAGATTCAGACAACAGCCTACTTAACGCTAAATTGCTTTTTATTGATGTACAAATGTAAATGGCAAATTAAAAATAGCTGGTATCTTTTCCATAATGTCCAAAAAGGTTGAATTTAACTTACAAACTATTAAAAACACTCTAAATAATTTATGATTTCTGTGATAATCTTGAAAATGGGCAAACATAGTGATATTCGAATTAGTTCCTTCCATAAAGTAGCATAGATGCATGATAAATTTTGCAGTTTAACAGAAAAACTGAAAAATATCATGAAGAGTTTATATGGTTTTGGGGGACGCTGTCACAAAATAACAGACATTTATATGGATCTTTAACCCATTCGCCCCTGAACCGCCCGTAACCGCCCGTGCGGATCCAGGTCCTTTCTACCCATTGTGACGTCATCAGTTTTAGCGGTCAAGGATAACTTTCTTCGCTAACTTGTGCAGAGTGAAGAGATCTTTCAAACCATACTAGAATGAGCACAATTCAGTCAAGGACACCGGAGAAACAAGCAAAAAACCACGTGACATTGACCTGAAAATCTCCATGAAAATCTTGTTCTATTACCCACCTACCTTTCCTTTCACCTAATCCTAAGATCCTAAAAGCTTTCCTAAAAACTCTTCCCACCAAAATGAAGCCCACTAAATGCCCAGCAAGAGAAAAAAAAATGAGGCAAGAAAAGCGAAAAAAGAAGGGAGGAGAGAAAGCGAAAAGTTTGCTTTCTGCGCATGCCCGAACTGCGCATGCCCGAACTTCGCAAGCTGATATTTTGCATCTGGATCAGAAGGCCGCGAAGTGTTGGACCTGTAAACCAGTTTGTGGTAAGTTTTAGCTCTTTATAGCACGACAGTGACCAGAAAACCACTCGACTAGCTTCAAAACGCGTTTTTCGGCAAAATCTCCAGGAGCGAATGGGTTAACCATGATGTTCCACGAGTCATAACTTGATCCCTGTTCGACTTTAGAACACCAAACCTGGTCAAATAACAAATGTCAACATGAACTTTTATATGGTGGTGTCAGTTTATCGATTAGTTTAAATTTGAAACTTGCCCCAGCTCCCTATGCAACTCCAAAATGGCCAATTGAGTAGCTGGTCAGGGGTTCTGTACTGCTGAGCATGCTCAGAACAGTTCGTAAGCATGCTTTTTGAGGAAAACCACTTAACGTCATTGTTTCTTCTGCAAACTTGAATGAGTATTATTTTGTTAAGTAGAATTTGTAATATAATATGTAGTGAACAATGTCCAGTTTTAGTGCAAATTTACAGTTTATGTCTTTAAGTCAGACTGAATGACAAAATATGATAATTTCAGTAGCTAAATCAGTTTTAGAAAAAACAAAATAATCTCCTCACTACTGAGAACGTTTTTTTTTCTCAAAACATTTACTTGAGATGTAATCAAATTAATTTTGAAATTATTTTAAGGAGTCAGTACAGCTGAAAAACATCTGGCTGGTATCGCGTGATACTAGGTCTCAGAAGGAGATTATATAATATTATAATAGAACATAAATAAAGTGAATGATAACTTCACAGCTTCATTTTCAGAGAAGTAACTACAGAACAATAGGACATAGCCACAGTCAGCAACACTGACTAGAAAATGAATGATAAAAAATGTGTTCCCAAAAATTAAATGTCCGCAAAACAAACTTTTGTTTGTAGAATCATTGGAACAAGGTTGCATGGACTATTTTTTTTTTGACAGTTGAAAAATTTAATTACTGTCATGTTTTGATCGCACAATTATTTTCTGCTCAAGGTTAAAAATTCACAGGAAAATCTCTTTAAAGAAAGTTACTTTAAAAAGTGGTTGTATAAATTGTAATGTCCGAACATGACACTTTCTTCAACTCATACCTTCAAGGTCTTGAGAGCTAACCAAAGCATCTTTTCAGTAGGTACAAAAGGAACACTAAAAATACTTTCTTGATATGTTTGAACACCCTTAATGAACATTTTGACATCTAAATTGGGGTTTAAAATATTAATTTTAGTATCTGAATGTAATATAATGTCCGCAACATGGAATCACCCCAATAAGTTAAAAATTAAGTAAATGAAAATGTAGATATTTGCGTATTATTTTATCAAGGTTTCGGATCTGAGTTTAGAAAAATCATTCTAGTAAAAGTTGTCATTCTTAAAACTTGTACGATTTAAGTTAATGCTCCTTTTACTTTTTTCATTACTTGTACGATTTAAGTCGATGTTCCTTTTTTAATAATTTTTTTCATTAGCATTTTAAAAAAAGAGCAAGGAAAGAACTGTCATACTGTCATGTATTAAACTATAAAGAACAACAGCAATACAAAAACTAGGTCGCGCCCGTTCAGTTACGATGTGAGATGAGGATCTAAATATGCTATTCCGAAAAGGCATGAGTCGGTTTACTTAATTTTCTTCAAAGCAATAAACATTCAACGGATACATTTTGTGTTCGTTATGCTTGCGAATTCTCATTGCCGAAAGTAGTGAATTAAGCTCGAAACTGAAAGAAGAAAGAATAACAATTATAGCTTTGAATGAATGATTATCTCTGGTGCTCAGCAATTCACGCAAAGTGCCTGAAAAGTAATGCCTAGATACCGGCCCAAAATGCTGTTGTGTTCACACCTCGAGTACCTGACATGTATTTGTTAGTATATTTGCTACATTTCGCCCTGTCAAAGACGCCATTTTGAGTCGTGAGCGTAGTAGGGAGTACAAAGTAGTGGATTTTTTCAGAACAAGAGAAAACGTATGTACATATGGACCCGGCGCTCACTTCACCGCCCGAGTACTGAGGTCGGGGTAGAAGGTCTATCTTGTACGTTGGCACCAGCACAGTGCCGCAATTCCGAGCGTGGACACTTTAAAAAAAAGGGTGTGTTCACAATACAGTCGACTCCCGATAACTCGAACCTTCAAGGGAAATCGAAAAAAGTTCGAGTTATCGGGAATTCGAGTTATCGGGAGCTAGAAGAAAATAGCCGGGAGTAAGAAAAAGAACAGTTTTAACTGCACAGTGAACATTTTAATCACATTTAATTGTAGAAATGTTAAGTGAAAATTAAAAGATACTTCTAGATTATAAATCAGAACGTAACGTAACAAGACATTGTCTAACTAGAGCATTCGTTTTACTGTTTGAGAAATAAAACTGTTTCACGTTAGATTTGAGACAATCAACACCAGCCTCCACCAGTAAACTATACTCCTACCGCACGTAAATGGGAAAATTCTAAATTCACTGTTTCGGACGCCAGTAGACTGTTTTTTTCCCCGACTTTTTAAGGGTTCAAAACATGGTTCGAGTTATCGAGGGAAAAATTATATAGAGATGATCTGAGGGAAAACAAAACCTACTTCGAGTTAGCGGGAGGTTCGAGTTATCGGGGGTAAAATTACAGTAAATGTATGGGAATTCCAGGAGAAATCGATTCTGGTTCGAGTTAGTGCGAGGTTCGAGTTAGCGAGGGTTCGAGTTTTCGGGAACTGTAGTGTCCAGTGAGTACTTTACTCGGCAACGTACCCGGTTACCAGGTGTGAACCGTTCCTTAGCAACCACGATTATCTGCGCAAACTTTGTTTTTATCTCTTTTTAACTTGCAACTGTACATTCACTTGAATTTATTTTAGGGATCAGGCGAGAGGAAAAAAATCATCGTGAATAAAAGGCACCTGTCAGGGCTGGAAATAAACTTGAAAAATAAACAAGACCGGATTATCTTAGTTTAATAAATGAGTTTAGGATAGTAAACGGATAGTATTTTCTGTTTGCCGATAAGAAATCATACAAAAGAACTTGATTTTTGGGAAGGTTCTTGGTGAATCACCAAATGACGTAATACAAAATTGAAAAGACTCTAAACTATACCCACACCATAAAACAAAAGGGAACCAACAATGGTTTCCGCTACACCTAGAAACATCCAATTTTTGCAAGTGATTTTCTTGCTCTTCCTTGATTCTAGATTAATCTCCCAGAGAAGAGAAAACTAATTTAATAAATAGTCAATTAATGTTATTACGTCTGGTTTAGTTTTAACAACAAAATTTCACACAAATTCTCTATATTAGTTAAGTAATTAAACAAATGATCATGGTGTTTGATAGGCATCAACAAGTGAAAAAAGCTACTTGAAAGTCAAGAATTTTATGTGATACGAGTCACTCAGAAAGGATTGAAATCGGTTACAAAACAAAAAAGCCGGCTTGCCCTAAAACATAGTCATCGGCTATGAGAACTACCTTTTTGAAGCCCTCTGTGTAGTGCTAGTAATGACCTAACGCTAAGCTCTATCGAAGATACTAAGTTTATTTCGTAAAAGTAAAAGCTTTTTTCAATCGTTTGAAACTTACCTATGACAACAACAACTTTGTTTTCATATCCGCGGTAGCTCTTGTACGCATGGCTGTGCAACTTTTGTCCCTGAAATGCATCAATCCCTTTAAAAGCCGGAAAATATGGCTTTGACAGGTGCCCATTGCAAATCATAACAGCATCAAAAATGCTTTCTGTCACGTTTCCGTTGATATCCTTGTGGGAAACTCTCCATTGGCCTGTATTCCTGTGATTCGGGGTGCGGCTTATATCGAGTACAGTCACGTTAAAACGAATGTGCTTTGACAGTTTGAAATTCTCAGCGTACATCTGCAGGTATTCCACGACGTGATCACGCGGCATGAACGGCGGGAAATACTTCGGAGCGGGAAAATCCGAGAAACAGGTCATCTCTTTGCTAGTGTTGATGACTGTTGACTCATAAACCGACCCACTTTTCACGTTTGTATCCATTTCTTGGTCGTGGGAAAATTTCCACAGACCGCCGATACTAGAGCTTTTCTCAAAGCAAACTGGCTCGAGTCCTTCATCTAAACAGCATTTTATAGAAGCTAAACCGCTTACCCCGGCGCCAATTATTGCAATTTTCATCGTTAACTTTTCGACTATACGCGACGCCTCTTGCTTTGGGCGTTCGTTAAAGTCCTTCGTTTGCGGAACGTGTGTCTCGAGTGTGTAGCTCTTCTAGGTTAAAATGAAACTAATAGCTCTCTTGAAAAGGGTTTTGTCATAATTAACTCTTCCTTTCTTTATATTGCCCTCTATGAGTTAAAATTCTTTGTTTTGTCGATATTACCGACTGTGGCTCTTTTGTAATGAAGAATCAGGAGATATTTAAAGATATTGCTTTAGAATGTTCGTCAGTAACAATACCGCCTGCGAGGAGATTACTCGAGATATACACATACTCGAAATAATAGAAATTCTAGAAAACAGCCAAACCAAGTCCTTCTTGTACATCATATCCAATCTTGATACGACTAGAAAGAACCAACGTAAAAGTGAAACAAGTATACGTGACTCACGTGGGTGAAAATAAAGGCTTTTTACACCTTAGGTGAAAACAATAGTTTCTTTGCACCAAACTCTTAACGATTAAATACTGATTGCAGTGCAGAGGAGAGGCCATTAAAAGTTCTATTTACTCACGTCGTATGCACTCCAAATATTTTTTGTTTTCCCGACTTTTACTGCCAATTAACATTATTTTCAGACAGGTCACATTTGTGTTGTTCAGTTTCATCTATTCTTGGATTCTTGCTTGCAGCAAATCAATATATCGCTTATCGCGTTAACAAAAGTTAATGGTTTGTTATGTATACATTAAGACACAAACTACATTTTAAACGGCCTTTATGAACAACAAAACCTGAATACCATCAGGTGCACGGAAACTATTTTCCAAAGCGATTTTTCAAACATGCAAATTAGGTAGGTAGTGCTTGGAGCGAACAAACCATGCCAACAAGCACAGACTATATTGATCGTGTAAATTGTTATTTCATTTCACTCCGGCACCAAAATTGGCTGAGAGGGACAAACGCCTAGCTTAAATCTCGCTACCAGTGTCAGATCACCAATAATTGAACTTAGCGAAAGATTCAGCGTTTCTGTCGTCGCCACCACCTTCTTTGAGGCCGCCAAAAATTAAAAACAAAACAAAACAAAAATCGCAAGATTCTGCACTGAGTTACTTTGCTTTTCACTCCTCTGCGTAGGACTCAAATCAATCACCGCACACTCATGATTTGACTTTAGAGCATTTTAGTAATTATAAGTCCCATTTGTTTTCAGCCAGTTTGACAATGTATTGGGTGGTCGATTGACCAAATTTAAATACTATGTAATACTGTGTCGAGGGTAAAGTGGTACTGAATTGTTCTAAAATATTAGAAGAGCTGAAATCAACTTATGTGATAACCTTTCACCCAAAAAAACCACAAATATGACTATTGTCCGTGATTTAGTATTTTAGATTCTTAACCTGTGTATTTTTTTGAGAAGATGATGAAGGTACAAAGTCATAAACCTGGTCCCTGTTGTTCAAACATCGGATAGCACTATCCACCAGTTAATTCCGGCAGTATTCAGCCAGGGAAACCGATTGCGCAATCCAGTGGCTAACGGTATCCACATTTTGAACAACTGGGGCCGGCCAAGAACAGCCCGCTTGAAAAAAGAATAATGACAACTAAAAGACTTTTCTCCAGTTATTTTGTGTGGAAAAAAATTTGTTTTCGTATTAGGTAACTTGTCGGCAACTTTTCACAGAGTTCCGCCGTACCTCAAACATAATTATTTCTTTTTGTTTCTCCGCTTTTTCACTTCGCCCAGTGCGTAATAAGACTAATCATGGTTTGTTCTACTTCCTGCAAGATGACGATAATCTACGTCAGTAAATATTTGTTTACGCAAGTAAAGTAGTGTGAGGTTTCCGGATAACATGATCGACAATTGAAAGATATGGCCATTAAAAATTGTCACGGCAGAGATGAAGTTAAGTCAAGCTTAAGCCTCAAGTTAACTCTGCACCTATTTATTAATCGCTGAAAGCAAGTCGAGCGTTGTGTTAACGATTTTTGTACCATGCAAATAGAATGTATTGTTGTGGTTATCTCAGCTTTAACTGCAACTTGGTTATTTGTGGATGCGCAGATAGGGAGGTTCCAAGAATCGTGCAAATTTTTTTTTGGACCAATCATTACCCGCTGGAGTTAGGCACGTGTTCACGTTTTTTCCCGCGCAAGGAGTCGGCCACGTGCGTTAGCCTCGTGTTCTGTTTGGTTCAGCTTGTGTTGTTTGCTCCTGTTGAGATTGTAATCGGTCAGCGCGAGAACTTAGATCAGAGACAAGAAATTATAAGGGGATTTGTTACTTGCGTTTGAAGGTACTGTGAATTGGATCTAGGAAATCAGGTAGAGTAGCTTAAATTGTTTCCATTGAAGAATGTAAATACCGTCGATCAACATTGTTAACTGTCAAATCAAGGAACCTAAAGGTGAGCAAATCATGGACAATTATCGCTGCCCTCCTACGCGTCTGCGTTAAAGTAGACCTAAAAACAATTACTGCGCCGGGCCGGAAATGGAGCCACTTGTTTCTTGAGTCTGACCGGCTGCACTATCTATCAAGATTAGATGACTTCCGTTTCTTGAAGGTAGATAAGACTGGATAAGTCAAGGCTATGGCGGAAAGGTTAAATCTATTTTTGGAACTATGCTTTGTGCTTCCTTCCCCAACATCTAACATTGTAATGCAAAGGGTGGCTTTGTGTAATAATATGTTTCACTTTAAGCATCCCCGACTCTAGTGTTTCAAGTGTGTTATGTATTATATCGTTACGGTATTTTCAAGTTTAATTAACCTGATTTATTTCGAGTTTCTTATCTCCCATCGTTCTGGCTTAAAGGTGGCGATGAGGCTTTGAGCGCCGTTAATTCAAATGAGGTCCCTGTTTTAACCAAAAAATCTCGCAGAAAACTCCACGTCTTTACGGGCTCCTGCGTCGATGTGTTATCAAGTTGGAATAGATTTCTTAAATTAACATGAATTTCGGACCAATATATTTCCATGCACTTCTCCTGAAAATTATATGTAAGTTAGTCATGTCCACGCGCGACGTTGATTTCAAGTTGAAAAATGCAGCCTTGCCAATTTCAAAAACTATACTTTACGCATTAAGCAAACAAAACAACAACAAAATTGAACGAATCCATAGATCCCCTGCAGAATATATTGTAAAGGGGAATATTTCGGAATGGAAAACTGTACGCCAAACGCTGAGTAAGTTTGGGCCTTCTTTAACATCTATCTTGCGACCTTTTCAAGATAATGTCAAAGTAAACTATTAGATATTACAACAAAATCGAAAGAAGCAAGCCGTAGAGCTATGGTAAAACGGGCAACAAAATTGTGCAAGTTAATGAACTGCAAGGTTGCGTGGTTTACCACCTACGATTAACAAATCAAACCAGTGTCTAGAGATTAGATGTACTTTATGCAACAATTCAGTTATGCAACCTGCAACAATTAATTTGTGGCAAGACAGGTTTGATTCGTGGGTGGTAAACGGACGCAACATCGCTTTTCAACCCCTTCAAGTTCCACGCCTTTTGTTGCCAGTATTACCATAGCTTCAACGGGACGAGAACAAGAGCGAGTGAATCCCTGGAAAGCACAGTTTTAGTTAGTTTCTAACGGTTCGAATCAATCTTTATTATATATATTTTCTTTAGTTCTGAACCCTTTCATAATCGTACTTACCATTGTCGGGTCATTTTATTTGAGGCACCTCTAGTAGTTGACAAGTTGGTCATCTATAAAATTACTCTCAAAATTGGCAATTTCAAGTGTTCAAGAGTTCTTCCACTCATTTATTATAAGAAAAATTTTCTGAACAGATATGAGCCATCCCTAAACCTTATACTTTGCCATCAGCTTACCGCTAGTAGATTGAAAAATTCTGATTGTTTCTTCCGCTAACACAATACATCCAATTTCCTTTTGTACTTAAACAGTTACTTAATACGACAAAGGAGGTGAAGCAATACTCATTTTCCATTATCACTTACCACAAATATTTTTCAGCAATAATACCTATATACTATGAAATGTTTGAATACAGGAGTCATTTCATACGTAGGTTGGGTATGATCGTCCGCGGGTGAACTTAGCCCTGACTGTTGTTGAGAGTGACTGACGAGTTTCGACAACCTATGCAGTAGCCTTCTTCAGAGTCAAAATTTTCAGTATTGGTGTCGGCCGCTCGGCTGAGGCCCGAAAAGACTCGACTGAAACCGGAAACTGCGTATGAAAAGTCTCTCGCGCATAGCACCCGGGGTATGGTCCAGGCTTAGCCAAGAGATAGTGCTGAAGAAACAACTGTTTTGTGTGAAGTCAAGACGGGGTCACTGATCATTTCGTCCCCGTTTTACCTCCTATTTTCGAGTCATTTAACGCACTTTAAATGTAATATTCCGCCTCGTTCTTTTAGCCATAAACCAAAACAAACTCGCTTCATATATAACATTCCTCGGTGCGAAATGACTTGAGGGCGAGATGACCAGTGAGAGTAACCCAAGAGGGTCAAGAAGATGTGGTTAATACTGTAAAAACCCGGCAATAAGAACGTGCATTTTCCCAAGTTAGCCTAAATAAAACAGGTTCGCCATAAACGGTAATTAGCACAAATTTAGGCTACTTAGGTTTTTAAATAGGTTCTTATTTTCGGAAGCAAAAAAAAAGCATAGTAGCTCTGAGTAATCAGAAGTATTCATCGTATTCCTTGTATATCATCTGCATACCAAATTAGTATTAATGTAAAAATGACATTGAGAGGAAGGACTGAAGCGCTGACCACCCACATGAATTCTGAAGTCCATTTGCCCAAGAAAACAGACTTTGTTTTAAAAGATTTTAGAAAATAAGAACCCTGTTTCAAATTTTAGGCAAAAGAGGTCCTTGTATAGAGGGGACCGAACTAACAAATTTTAGCGTAGCAGGTTCTCAAAATCCAGTTTCTTAGTCACGGGTGTTTACAGTACCACAGTTGTGCTTCGTTGCTTAGGGAGATGTGATTTAATCAAGCGTTAAATGTCTTTTCATCAACGTTCCCAAAATTTAAGAAGTAGCCTGTGAATACAGCCAAAGCG